AAAAAGTTAAGATTGCATTAGCTATATATTATAAATACCATTCGCTTTTCAAAGTTAGGAAACATTCATAGAAAAATTATTTGGAAGTACATTTCAAAAATTTATTATCCTTTTATGTGTATTGCTTATTTAAGAATTTACCATTTTGCAAAAAGAATAAATGTCTTTAAATATAAAAATATACATTTATCAACATCTATGATTGGCTTTTACCAGTTTGTTGAACTGTTTGTAGAGTTGGTTTTGACGTTTTGTAATATCTGATTTACTTGTATATAAAGCTCTACATGAGCCAGCTTGAGCCAAGCCAAGGGCTAGCTCAGCTTGGCTCAGCTTGGCTTGTTCCAAAAGCTCACAAGCTAGCTCATTTTCAAAATCATATAAAATTTATTATAACTAAAATTTCAAAACGAGATAACTTCGCCAATATTGCTCCAAATTTAATGATTTTACTACCATTAGATTCGTCTCATCAAGAGGAATCGAATGGTAGTAAATTCATTAAATTTGGAGCAATATTGGCGAAGTTATCACGTTTTGAAACTTTAGTTTTAATTTTCAATAAATTGAGCTAAGCCAGCACCAAGCCTATAATTGCAACTTGGTTTAGTTTGACTTGGCTCAGCTTAAAAGCTCATGAGCTGGCTTGGCTCATGTAGAGTACTACTTGTATAACAATATTAATTGCCAGAATATTTGGTATTCTAAAGATACGTTTCCAGTGGCTGCGGTGAGAGTATTGAGATTAAGGTTGCTTGTCTAAACCTCTTCAAAATTGTTTTGTCAAAATTTTACTATAGATTTATTATAGTTTTAGCAGAGTTTTGGCAGTTTTAGCATTTATAATAAGTTTCGGTAGTTTCGCCTTTCTCTAAAGTTTCACCAGTTTTTTAATATAACTTTAATATAGTTTCAGCAGAATTTTACTTTTCGGTGAAATGCCATCTTGTCTAAACCCCTAGGTTTCAGCAAGCAACCTTAATTGAGATTGAAAAATTTGAGCTTTCACATTATCTTGCAAAACAAGGAGTCTTCTTTGTATACAACTATTGTTTTCTTTTCATTTAGTAAGTAAATTTGTTTTTTTTGTTTTAATAAGAGTAAGTTTGTTAAAAAGGTTGAGGGTATAGAATAAATACATGTATATATACATTTCTTTATAAATGATAGACTCTTTAAAAAAATCATTTTTATTATGGCTTCCTTATATAGCAAACTATAGCTGATGCTGGGTACACCATCAACTAATTAAATCATTACTATCTTGTGATTATCATGTAAATAATAAATCAGCATATTTTGATTATATTGAATCCTTCTAGTACTGTCAGAATATGTACCCAGGGTACAGTGACACCTCTCTAAGTGCACCCTCCTTGGGACCATAGTAAAAAAATAGTAGAATGTGCACTTAGAGAGGGTGTGCATTTATAGAGAGTAAAATATTAAGAGCTCTTATAAGTTGGGACCAGGCCCACCGTGCACTTAAAGAGAATTTATATAGTGTGTGCACTTATAGAGGGTGCACTTATAGAGGTGTCACTGTATATACAATTTTTAAACCAGGTATTTTGTATTAGTACAGTACGGTATGATTTACTCTTGGATACATTTACACATTTTTTCCGAAAGGCGAATTCTTTATTGCGTATTTTTTAAATATTTATTTTTTTGAATCCTAATTAATGCAAAGTCAATGTGATGTTTATAAAAATCTTAATAAATTTTTATGATATTTACATTAATTATTTGATGGTACACCCGGACACACCCATCTACACATGTTTTTTTGAAAAATATAACTGATAATGAATTAACGATAATCCTGGTCCATAATACTTTGTAAACTAATACAATTTTCATTTCAGAATTCTGAGAATTTTGGAAACTTTTACTGTTTTGTGCTTTATAAAGAAATCTACATAAGCAAGAATTAATAATTTTATGATTGCATTGAGCTCATTGTGTTATTGGAAAATTTATTCTATTCTGCGTAATTCTGGACGAATAAATTATAGTTGAAAAAAAAATGTGAAATCGCAAAAGCATTAAATTTCGGGTTTCAATGAGACCTAACTCTCGAAGATGATTTGGGATGGACTATGTAATACCAATCATATCTTAAATCAATCCAATTCTCTTCGAATAACCGATCATGCACCAACTGCTTCTTAGAGTCTTCCGCATTTTGTGGAAATATTTTATATGTTGCTCGTGTTGTTTGCCTTGTACTTCTATAGCAAATCCATATTGTGAATAGTACATGTCAATTCTAATCCTCGAGGATGTTCAGACGTTTTTAAAGTCTGGTTTGCGAATATCAGGAGTGTGGGCCAAGAATTTGAGTTATGACTTTACGACATAAATTTTTGTGTTTACTTAGGCAATGTGGGTATTGGACACAGAGATTTAGATATTCAGACACATACCACCTATACTGTGAGTCAAGGAAAATTACCAGCACATTGTGGACTAAGAGGTACAGTCCATTCATGTCCTTTGGCACATCTCCAGTGCATTGAGGTATTTATGTTGATGTATTCTGTAGACAAGCATTCACCAACACGTTCTTATGCGATACTATTTGCTATGTCAACATCAAGGTATTGGTACTTTTGATAATATCCTTAGCCGAAGCCTTCCATTAATGCCCTTTAATACATTGCCATTCAAGAGGATCTTGTCTATTAATATACTTCAGTTGCAAGGCAAAGACTTTCCTTTTTTTTTTTTGCAAACTTCTTCATATCGAGTACAACAATTTTAACAGCACACCACGGACACCATGATTAAGAGTTGTAGATCATTTATGGCCTATGGCACACTTCTAAAGTAATAGAGTCTTACCATTAATGATTTTTTGGAAAGACACACTCCTCCTTTATTATATACGATCTCTGTAGACAATCATTTGGTTGGCATTTGTAAATAATATGCTCGGCTAATACCTCCCTTGAAATATCCGCTGCTCCAATATCTTTTTGCATTTACTTTTGTTCCTTTTCGCCAGCTTCTTTATTGTGTATTATCCTACAAAATTATAATAAAGAGCTTTGCTTTGAATTTTTAAATATGTGCGTGCGTGTTTTATGTGTATATGCAAGAAAAAATTTTTTATTAAAACAGATTTCGGGACGCGATCCATTATACAGAAGTACGAATACAAAAGTTCAGGATTTTGCCCGTGATACATGACGGCGGAGTTTCTATGTTAAGACCTAAACTTTCAGTTTTACACTCTTCCTGATAATATGCCACAACTGAATCATAGATTCCATTGTTTAATAAAGGAAGCAAAATATCCAATAAACTAATAAAACCTGAGATCTGAACATTGGTTTGTTCTTTGGTTCCCCTCAACTTCTCTTGTCTGTAAAGTAATAATAGGAATTTCTAATTCAGTTGAATAAATAATAATTTATCCTTTGATTTTTAGAAAACTTTTCATTTCTGGAAATTCCGATACCTTCCGGCTTTAAGAGCAATGAATAATTGTTAATTATAATTCATAATATATATTCAATAATTTAAACGAATAACATTACCTTAATCATTTCCTCGTAACCAAACATACTTGTACTTTTTTCAGTAAGAAGATTCCATTCACTTTTATCTATTTTAAATTAGTGAAATAATGATAACTAAGATAACCGTAATCCAAATCTAGATTAATTTCTTTTGTTGTTATTGTCAGATAATGCACGCCATTTTCTTTGTATTTTTCCCATTAACTAAAAAATCAAATAAAATCAAATCGTATTGAAATATGGTAAATCCGAATATAGTCGGCTACAGTCGGCCATAACGAAGTAGGGCATCCCGGCCGATCAGGCCTTCGTTATGAGAATGATTCGGTATAATGTGAAAATTTGGTATAATGTGGGAAAAATTTGGAAAATCAACACATTTGTAAAACATGAGGCAAAGAAAATTGCGAGATATAAATCATTAATCTTTTGATAAAATAGATTATAGTAAAATTTGCTTATTTGAGAAGAATATAATGAAATTGTATTGTTAGTTAAACGGTATATCACATTTAATTGGTTCGGTATAACGAGAATGTTTTCATATGTTAAAATCGGTACTACACTGAAATTCGTTATATTGTGAAATTCGTTATATCAAAATTCGCTGTAAGAAGGGCCGGTGATTTGGCTATATCTATTCAAGATAACTGAATTATAGAGTTTAAAAATAAAGTTGCATGTAAAGCTAGAATATATAATTTTAATGATGTGTAATTGAAGTTTTTAATGAAATTTGGATTTGAAACTCGATCAAATTTGACATTAGCTTCATAAAGGTTTTCAATAGAAAAGACTTATAAATCAAATATAGAATTCATGTAATACATACGCAACTATATGAAAATACTTTTATAAATAAAAAAAAAAATCACAAGTTAAAAAGCTGTTGTATTTTAAGAAAAGTCAAACGAAATTTAAGAAATCGATTAAAAATAATTACATTTTTAAATTAATGAAAAAAATGAATTAATAAATTATCACGAGAGAACGACTCCAGAAACTATTGTTAGGATCTAAATGTCATATACTTATCTGATATTTTTAAAAATTTACTAATTATGGAATTAGTCGATCCCATTATTAATAAAATCATGTGAAAGCTCCATGTCTAGATCATGATAAAGTGATTTATAATAAAACTCTAATGAATATACCAAAATATATTACTAAAATGTAATTGAATCTTTGAAATTAAAAAATTTAGACCGCCATTATAAAATTAAGAAATTTAATCATTTTAACTAACGATTTTATGATGTTTGCAAACCATTTATTTTTACCGAAAAATTCTTTATCGATGATCATACAAAAACAAGTTTTTTGATTTCCAAATATTTAAGACATTTAATATTGCCATTAATTGCTAGATAAGTAATAATTAATGTTAAAAAAGAATTTAAGAATAAAGTTTAATATAAAATTTAATTCTATCAGTTAAATAATTTAATTAAAAAAAAAAGAAAAAATTCATTAATTATTATAGTTCCAATTAACATTTCTTTCATCATCAAGTATACCAATACGATGATAATAAGTTTTAGGTCTTATGTAAGGATCTAAATCTAATTGAGCTTTTCTTAATCTAGCTTTTAATTGATTCCTTTCATTAATGATTTGTTCATCATCAGGACCTTCTATCCATTTTTTATTTATATTTTCGAAATCATGCTCCAATTTTGTCCTTATTTCCATTAATTCTTTTTTCTTTATTTCATCTTTCATTTTATAATTGTCTTCTTCTGTAGGGGGTATATATTCGTATTTCCATTTGTCTCCACCACCTAACTCTTCAATAATATGTTCTTGTGGTATGAAATTCTTAAGATCCTGGTCGGTTTTAGTAAATTGAATTTTTGATGCCACAACTGGATCAAGTAATGGCGTTATAAGTTTCCACACTTGAGGAAAAACCCATGGAGCTTTGTGAATAAGTAAAATTCCTAAACTTTCTGGATAATATGCTTCAAAACATTGAATCATGAATTTAACATATTGTAAATCCTATAATGAAAATTATTAAAATTATTAAAATTATATTACTTATAACGTATAAATTTCTAAATGTCCTTTATTTATCTTACCATATTAGCTAAACTGAATCCTTCCATATTAAATATGAGACAGCCTGTCTCAATTGGAGGTTGAATCATCAAGCGAACAGTTTCCATAACATAAATTGTAAACATTTGAAGAACCTCTAAATTTTGTTCATCTTTCTTATGAGCCTTAACATTTACATAACTTTCGATTCGATTATAATTATTAGAATTCATGTTAAAAGAAAAATTTGAAAAATACTAATTCACTTACGTTATTGGTCTACCTTCTTTATCAGTTCCTCTGACAAAACTCTTTCCACTCGTAAATTGAATTGACAATCCTTTAACTCCTTTTTCAGCAAAATATTTTTCCATGCCTAATTCACCCCCTTTAATAATGTTATTTACATCAAATTGTAATCGCCATTTTAAAGTTGATATTAACATAATAATAGCTTTCTCAACATCCCATTTTCTAGCTCTAAGAAATCGTAATAATAAAATATCGGGATCGTCAGCTCCAGTTAATATCCAAAACGCTTTACGTAAATCTTCCGGACTGTACATTTCCATAGCAGATATAAATTCTGCAGATTCATTATATTTATCATTATTTGATTTTGTTCCATTTGAATTTTTATTCTTATACCCATTTTTAATTTTGTCCTGAGATTTAGAACCATAATTTTGAAATTGTTCGCTTTGAATTATTCCATAAATAACAAACATATTAGCATAGCATATACGCAATAATTCAGCTTGTTCTTTTGTAAGTGTACTAACATGACCTGACTTTGAGTCTTCTTGTTGTTGCTTTAAAGCGATAGCGGTGCTCATCTTGGTTAAATGTTTTTAAAGTAAAAAGAAAAAAGGAGAAAAAGTAGAGAGAGATATTGAAGTATTAAATTGGTTTTATTATTGAAATATTTATTTATAATTACATGAAACTATTAAATACAGCCAGATTTCCCCAGGTTACACAACATCTGATTGATTGATTTGAAAATGTTATTCTGGAAAATGGAACGTTCAAATAAAGGAAATAAAAAAGCGTTAAAAATTTTCAATAAATTATACTTATTAGTACTTATTAATACAAAAGAAAAATTTTTATTTTATATTAATTACATTACAATTTGATAATATATTTAGTACCTTGCTCATTTGATCAAATAAAATAGGTTTTACATGCTATTATTAAATGAATAAATTATTAAATGAATAAATGAAAACAATCAAATTTTGAGTAACTCGGAGAAATTTGGAGAGTGAGTTCTCCAAACTTCCACGTGAGCTGTTGTGGAAACTAAACATGCATAAACATGTCAGATTGAGTACTAACTAGTTAGAATATTCTTTAGGAAAATTGTCGATTAATGAATATATTACTTAATGCGGATTAGTCTATAACTCTATATAACAAGTAATGGTTAATGTTTAAAAATATTCGGATCAGAAGAATATTTTATTTTTTTACTTTTTATTTTTATTTTTTTTTTCTTTTTGAATTTTTTTAGCCTTTTTTGCTTTTTTAATAATGATTATTATAAGAAAATTAATACGCGAAAAGTAAATTCGGAGATATAAAAATTATAAATAGATGATATGAAACTTGATTTCCGATTCTTTTTTTTTTTTTTTTCTTAAAAAAAGTCCACTGAACTATTTTTTGAAATTTTTGTACAAGAGATCAGCTTTTGTTTTACGATTAATATACAATTTACCCTTTCAAAATCCCTAAACCAAGAAAAGAAGCTTCTACATTATATGATGGATCGATGAGAGAAGTAAAACGAATTGCTGAATTTTTTCAAAAGATGTATTTTTACATAAAAAAGGAAAAAAGTAAAGGGATAAAAAATTTTTGAAGTTCAAACTAAGTAAACTAAAATGATTATTTTTTTTTTTTTAGTTATGACTAAATTTTTTTTCTTTTCTTTTTTTTTTTTATGCGGCCGCAGCATAATATCCGGATAAATATACTGTTTCCTGACCCAAACATTCCTTAACTAATAATCTCTTCAATCTTTCACAACTTGTTCTACAACCTGAACTTGCTGCTTTTTCAAACCAGTATGTTGCTCCTTCCAGGTTAGCTTCACATCCGATTCCTTTCTCAAGGGCATTGGCTAAATGATACATGGCTGTGAGATGATCTTGTTCAGCAGCCATTCGAAAGTGTTCGAATGCAGCTACTTCATCTTTTTCACATCCAATACCTAATTGAAGACATACTCCAAGTTTGTCTTGAGCTCTCGCGTGGTTTTGTTCCGCTGCTGCACGATACCAACAAACTGCCATGGCTTCATCTTTTTTCACTCCGATACCATTCGCATAACAAAATCCCAAATTACATTGTGCCCATGGGTTTTGCGCGTTAGCGGAAAGTTGATACCAATATACAGCTTTTTCTTCATCTTTTTCAACACCAAGACCTTCTTCGTAACAATATCCCAGAGAATTTTGTGCCAATGCATTACCTTGTTGAGCCGCATGTGTAAACCATTTTACAGCTTCTTGTTCATCTTTTTCTACACCGATTCCATTGCGGAAGCAATACCCAAGACTTAATTGAGCCGGTGCATGATGTTCTTCAGCAGATAAAAAATACCAGTACACTGCTTCTATTTCATTAACACTAACACCAATACCATTTTGGTAGCAATATCCAAGGGAATGGTAAGCAAAGATGTTGCCACGTTCAGCTGATTTAGTGTACCAATTTACTGCTTCAGCTTCATTTTTTTCTACACCAATTCCGTTCTGATAACAAAAACCAAGGTTATGTTGAGCACGAGCATGGCCTTGAAGAGCTGCTTTATTATACCAATAAGCTCCCTCAACATCATCCTTCGGTACACCAATGCCATTTTGATAACAATATCCAAGATTACATTCTGCCCATGGATAACCTTGTTCTGCTGATTTGCGATACCATTTGGCAGCTTCTACAGGATCTTGTTCTACTCCGATTCCATCCTCATAACAATAGCCTAAAGAATTTTGAGCAAAAGCATTTCCCTGCTCAGCGGATAAACGATACCATTTAACAGCTTCAACTACGTCCTTTTCTACTCCAATCCCATCTTCGTAACAATAACCAACATTATAAATTGCGACAGATTCACCTTGTTCCGCTGCTTTTCGATACCATTTCATCGCTTCAACCTCGTCCTTCTTAACTCCAAACCCCTCGCCGTAACAGAATCCTAAAATTCCTTGACCACGTGGATGGCCTTGTTCTGCTGACTTTTTATACCATTTAAAGGCTTCTGATTCCTTTTTATCCACACCTACTCCATCATGATAACATACACCTAATGAATACTGTGCAGCAGGATGATTTTCTTTACAAGCCGCATAAAATAGCCAAGCGATTGCAGTTTTTCCTTGTTCTTTAACTTTTTGCTGCCACATTTCTGCTTCAGCACGATCAATACGAACCGAAGGACGTCCATATTTTCTTAAAAATGCAAGCCTAGCTTGAGCCAAACCATTACCAAGTTCAGCAGCAGGTATATAATGTAGTTCGGCTTGTTTAAAGTCCTTTTCAACACCTAAACCAAATTCATAACAGAATGCCAATATCCCCTGAGCCTCTGGATGATTTAAAAGGGCAGCACGTTGGAAAAATTCAAAAGCTTTTTTTTCGTCTTTTGGTTTTCCGGTACGTCCAAACATGTATGTTTCACCCTGCCTATAAAGATACTGAGCATCTTGTTCTTGTTGACAAGTTTTGCTACTACTACTGCTACCGCTATTTCCGAAAGTATATCTTTTGTTTAGTTTTGACACTAATTTTTTTGATCGATATAAGAAGTGTGCCGCGGTTTGTGAGATAGGATGAACTGCCATTATAGATTATTTCAGTATGACAAATATTACTGGTGTTTCAGAAGATTAAAGAATTCAAGACAGGAGAAAAAAAGTAATCAATATAGAGAAATGAAAAAAACGACAAATATGTAAAAAGAAATATTATTATTTTGTGCAAATGAATAATTGTCAATTTTTTGTAATTGAATAAAACTATATAATAATGTATTTTCTATATAATGAATGATCTATTGAAGATCTATGAAAGATCTTTCTAAGTATGCTTGGCATAAGAGAGCAAGCATACACTATGCCTTAGGCAAAATATTAGGATTCCTAAGATTCCTGTTATTGATAATGTTGAAGGTCCAGCGGTAATTTAAGACTGATTCGTTTTATTTCGTAATTTATTTTACCTTTTGCTAAGGACGCGCCAGAAAATTAGGGAGGGAAGGGCCATTTTAAATCATTGGTAGGTTATCCGTGTATTACCCGAGAAAAAAAGAAAACGGAAAAGGATAAATAAAAAGTATACAAAACCAGTTATTTTTAACAAATATCGAAATAATAAAAAGACAAGTCTTCACTTTTAGTACGATGAGCATGTTACAATTAGAAAACAGAAAAAAAATTTTTGTTAGGTTGCTTAATGCAATTAACAAATTTTTACCTTTAAAAATGAGCTTAAAAGAGCCAGACGAAGGATCTTAGCGGATATAGAGAACGAGAAAACCTTAGAATATGATGTGAACTATAGTATAAGATGGGGTATTACTTATTTTACTTATTTATTTTTTGTATGTAGGAGAATTTACTTTTAAAGGTGCTTATTTTCTTTGTTGTCAAGTTATATTTATTAAAATAAACCAAAAAACTGAAAACAGCAATGGAAAAATATATTAAATGTATATAAGTTACTTTTGTTTCAACTTAGTGGAGAAAAAAAAATCGTAATGTTTTATAATAGAAATATGTTTAGTAAAAATTCGTTAGATGTTCATCGCCTTTTTGATATTTTATTTTAAAAAATTGTATCTCTCTTTTATACAAAGAAAAAAATTTTTTTATTGTCGTCGAAGAGTGGCGGCGGAAGGATCTGAAGGGGAATAGATAATTTCAAACGTGTAGTACCGATATGTTCCAATAAGTTATTCGGAAAATTTTTGATTGGATATTTTTGGTTATATGCACTTTATAATTGATTGTAGAACATAGAAGAACGTTACAATAAAAAATATATAGATCCGAATTCCGCAGTAATAATTTAGATTATTATCGCATTAGATCTTTTGTCAACATAAAAAAACAAGAAGTTTTATTTATAACAATATGCCTGGTGCAAATCCCTACGATCTAGATCCAGAAGTTCGAGCGCTTTTGAAGATTGAAACTTTTCAGGTGTGATTTTGAAAATTATTGATCTTCAGTTATATGAAAACTTACTGTATAATTATTTGTTGCAAAAGCAAGGGAAATTTACCACCAGAGAATTTGTCGAAAATATATCAAAAAACATTCTGAAACGAGCTAATCCGAAAGGTTATTAATCTAATTCTAGATATTTACTTCGTTTTTAGATGTTTTTGTATGTTAACATATAGTTCTATATTTTAATCTAGAATTTGATCCTAAGCCGTTTATAAGAACGTTTGAAAGATCTATTGACGAACTTTTGAAACTTCGAGAATCAGTTAAAAAAGAAAGTAAAGATTTAGAAGCAAGTGTACAACTTATAGAAACGGGTCACAGAAAAAAGTTGGTCGAATTGAAAACTACTTTTGAAGTATGAAATTTAATGAATCCATTATATTGATTATTGATAATCTATTAACAGATCATCAATATCTAGGACGTTGTTAACTCATTTGAAACTTTAGAAACAAGAATTAATGAAGTTGGCAATACGGCAATCAGGATCGGTACTATTTTTTTCTTCTTTTGTTTAACAAATATGGTATCTTGTATCAATTATTAATAATAACCTTATCTGTTGATTTATCATTAAAGGCGAGCAGTTAGAGACTATTGATAAACAGAGATCACGTGCTTCTGAGTCTAAAGAATTAATAGAGTATTTCATGGCATTTAATAGAGGCGATATTTCACAATTGGAATATTTACGGACTCAGAATGGAAAAGAAGGACAATTTAAGGTAAGATTTATCTGATAACACATTGTGTTAATTTGTAATTCTAATTGATACATATGGGAAAAATTAGGCTGCTACTATATCAAGAAGATTAAATGCTATAGCAAAAGAAGTTGATATACCAGGAGGTGAAGTTGTGAGTGTCTATGTTTACTTTTGAATTATTTGAATATAAATTTACCTGTATTATTAAAATGCTAGGCTAGATCTCGTATTGAGAAATATTGTGAAGTTTTAGAAAAAGAATTGCTTGAAGAGTTTGACAAAGCATACAGACAAAAAGATAAGGAGACAATGAAGGTTTGTACATTATAGTTTTCTCTGATTATTATTACACATTTATATTTATAATCTTTTTTTAGCATTGTGCAAAAACTCTCCAAGAATTTAACGGTTGCGAATCTTGTATAAAATTATATGTTAATCAACATCAATTTTTTATTACGAAAGTAAATTTGAGTCAAGCAAATGAATTTTTAACAAGTCCAAGGTATTTGAGATTCTATTCAAAATAATGATGAATTTGACATATCCTTGACCAATTTAACGAATACTATAGTTTTGAATCTTGAAAGTTGGAATGATTTACCCAATCCTCAAGTACCACCACCAGCAGTTGACCAAGGACTTGTTGAACTTTATAAGGAGATTAGAGCAACTGTCAAGCAAGAAGCAGAAATTATAAATGCCGTTTTTCCCAATCCTATTAACGTCATGCAAGTATTTTTACAACGAATATTTGCTCAATTGGTATGTGATAAAATATAAATGTGAATAAAATTTTTAAGGGCATTCATATTCTAACTCTTTCCTTAATAGGTTCAAACATACATTGAAAGCCTTTTAACACATGCAGAAAATGATTCTACACTTGCTTACTTGCGTTCTTTAGCATCAGTTTATACTGCAACAACGGAATTAGTTGATGACTTGAAAGGACTTGATATGAGGCAAAAAAGAAACGTGGCTCCATCTAAAATGGTCGAAGAAGGTTCTCGCAAGAGTAATACGATTGCAGAATTGTTGGATCAATGCATTGAAGATTTATTTGTTCCATATACTGAGGGTGATCGTTACATTGAAAAAGAGAAGAAATCCTTGAGTGAACTATATTCATCCTTACTATTGCAATTTAATGCTTATCACGTAAGCGAAAAAATTTATAATTTTATCGATTTTCGTTGCATTGATGTTTATATGTTTTGTTGATATTTTAGATCCAACAACAAAGTAGAGCACAAGCTGGAGGTTTGTTTCAGCGTGCTGTTAACCAAATAACAAATCAAAGTGGTGGAAGAGATATTGCTGATATAGTGACTACGGAAGAGGATGGAAGTTTATCCGTAAGTACAGCTATGCTGATACTTAAAATTCACGTTGAGGCTATAAGACGTTCCGTTAAACTTAGTCCTCCTTCTGAACTGTATGTCGATATAATTAACTCCGTCTTGCAAAATTATCCTGTAAGATATTTATTGTTTAAATTTTAATTTTACAGACCCAAGTTTACTAGTGCATTATTCCATGTCTTATTGGACAGCATCGGTAAACAATATGTAGATACTGCTTTAGATACGTAAGTAATTTTACATGTAATTTTTTTGTAAATTACTAATTTCGAAAGCTGATTTATTTGATCCTTATTTTATAGATGTTTGGATCAGATTACTGCTATGGATTCTAAGTACGAGCCTGATTTTAAACCTTTTAGAGTTATAAAAATAGCGAAGGATATTATACATTTGGCGCAAAATCATTTTCAAATGGCCATTGTAAGAATTTTTTAAATTCTATTTTAGTTATTTAATTTTATAAACTATTTTTTGACATGTATATTTAATATATAGCTTCCTTTGGCTTCTCCATCATTGACAATACACCGAGACCTTACTTCAGATAAGAATAGATTTATGATGGGAGTGGAAAATAAAATGAATTCGGCTGTACAAAAGATGATTGATGGTACTTGATTTATATAGTTTTTTCAACTGTGACCTATAAGGATAAATTCTAATTATATTTCTATTAATTAGTCATTATTGCAAGGTTAAGTTATCTATTGTCACGACAAAAGAAAGTAGATTTCAAACCAAAAGATGAAGATGACATAGTCGCTAGTTTGGCGACAACGGTATAATTTTATTAGTTTTTTAAACTAATTTTACAATTAAAAAATTCATTTCTCATTTTTCTCAAAATTTTAATTTTATAGCCTTGTAATAATTGTGTTGAATATTTGAAAAAAATACACTCATCAATTAGTCAATGCCTTGATGGCAAAAATTTGGAATATGTTCTGATTGAAATAGGTGTAACATTTCATAGGTAATTAGTTTTATATCATTATTTTATTTTTGTATTCTTGGTATTATTTTATTAAGTTCTAAATTTTTTGCCATAGTATTCTTTTGGATCATTTCAAAAAATTTCAAGTGAGTGCGGCCGGAGGTTTAGTTCTGACAAAGTAAGTTTTCATTTCAAATTTAATGTAGGGAAAAACAAACCGTTAAAATATCATTTTCAATTTAGGGATATAGCAAAATACCAAGAAACTGTTGCATTATTTAAGATTCCTCAACTTGATGATCGCTTTGAAATGTTACGTCAATTAGGAAATCTTTTCATCGTTAAACCTGAAATCCTTAAGTCTGTACTTAATGAGGGACATCTTGTTAAAATAGATGTTAAATATCTTCTGCCATACCTTCAGGTTCGTACAGACTTTAGGTCGGCTGGCATTGACGCTTTATTAGGAACAACTGCTGAAATTGGTTCCGGTGAAAGAAATTTTAATGAAAAAGCAAGAGCTAGATTAGCTGCTATGGGACTTAATATTCATATCGGATTAGGAGACATGCCATAAGGTGTTAATAGAATAACGAAAATTAAGATAGTTTTTATTATATTATTATTTAAAATAATTTATTAATATTGTAATAATGTATTTTAAAAATAAAGATCTACCACAAAATTTATATTATGATGATTGGTCATTGATAAACACCAATTTTAAAATTTTTTAACTGGTCTGATAAGAATCAGATGATACTGTATAGATAAAAAATTATATACTGTATAGATTTTCGTCAACTATACTATACAACATCGGAGGTATATATACTCAATATTGTTTAACCGGTTGATAAAAATCAGTTGTAGTTGTTTCTATGAAACCAACCATGAATTCTGCGTTAAGTTGGAAAATTATCGCAAATTGTTCAACAACAAAAGCCAGAGTAGGAAAATTAACTTTGCCACATGGACCAGTTGATACACCAGTATTTATGCCAGTTGGAACTCAAGGAACATTAAAAGGTTTAACACCAAAACAACTAGAAGAATTAAATTGTCAAATAATGTTAAACAATACGTATCATTTGGTAATATTCGTTTAATGATGCTTTTTTTGTTGCTTTTGTTACATTCAATAACGATAGAATCATGGTATATTTTTTTTTAGGGTTTAAGACCTGGACAAGAATTAATTGAAGAGCTTGGTGGATCACATGAATTTCAAAATTGGAATAGAAATTTATTAACTGTAAGGGAATCAAATTTGATATTTTATGAAGAAAATTTTTTGAACAATTATAAATTTTACTTTATTTAGGATAGTGGAGGATTTCAAATGGTATCATTATTAAAGCTTGCTAGAATAACAGAAGAAGGAGTAGAATTTCAATCACCGCATGATGGATCTACAATGTTGCTTACACCTGAACATTCTATGTCACTACAAAATTCAATTGGAGCAGATATTATTATGCAACTAGATGATGTTGTATCATCGCTTACAACAGGGCCAAGAGTTGAAGAAGCAATGTATAGATCTATTAGATGGTTAGATAGATGTATAAATTCTCATAGAAAACCCGATACGCAAAACTTATTTGCAATTATTCAAGGTGGATTAAATATTGATTTAAGAAAAAAATGTATTGAAGGTAATAAATTAATCTATGTAGGTATATATATATTGTTATATTTAACGAGTTTTATTTTATAAAAGAAATGGTTAAACGTGATACCCCGGGATATGCGATTGGTGGATTAAGTGGTGGCGAAGAAAAAGACACTTTTTGGAGAATGTAAGAAGAATGAAATAGGCAATTTTTGATCATGATCTACTTTATTAATTTAAATATTTACTATTCTTTTAAAGAGTGACTTTTTCTACTGATTTGTTACCAAAAAGTAAACCAATATATTGTATGGGTGTTGGATATGCTGAAGATCTTGTAGTATGTTCTGCTTTAGGAGTCGACATGTACGATTGTGTATTTCCGACGCGTACTGCTGTAAGTTATTTATATGTGACTTATCAAACATTTCTTCTTTTTCTTACAAAATTATGTTAGTAATTTTTTTTTCCACATTATATATCTAGAGATTTGGTAATGCGTTAACTTCAAAAGGACCATTAAATTTGAAATCAACAAAATTTGCACAAGATTTTGAACCAATTGAAAAAGATTGTAATTGTTTAACATGTAAAAAATATACAAGAGCATATATTCATATGCATGCAACGAGAGAAACAGTTGGATGTCATTTGATTACATTGCACAATGTATCATATCAATTAAGACTTATGAATAGCATTAGGCAAGCTATTTTAAAAGACGAATTTCCTACTTTCGTACAACTTTTTTTTAAAGAATTATTTGGTGGTAAAGATAATTATCCTACTTGGGCCGTCAATGCCCTAAAAAGTGTTAATATTGAACTACTTCCGTGAAAAATAGAAAATGAAAAGAATTTAATTTAGTATTTCATAAATAATATAAATAATGTTTTATTATAAAATTAATAATTTACTAGAAAATTAATAGAATTTCTATTTAATATTAATCAATAGAATAAAATATAAATATATATACAGTATATATATATGTAAAATGTTAAAATAATTAATCTCTCATATGCATTCCGAAAGAACATGCTACACTTGCTGCTAATTTTCGTCGTTCTTCGTCTGATAATGATTTGCTTTTCTCTAAATAATAATATTATATTAAATTTTAAAAATGCTGAAGAGGAAATCGATAAATATTAAAATGATTCTAACCTCGTAAATTATTTAATCGTACAATTACTTTATCTAGTCCATCCTCGTCGTCAAAATCACAAAAAATTTGATTATACATACTTTCAATTTCTCGTTGCGAAGGTAATGCTTTATCGATGAATCACGTTAAAAGAATTAACATAATTTAAAATATAAACAACAAATGTGATATTTACCATCACCAAAAAACTCGGCATCATTATCATCAAATGGAGCTGAATTATGATCATGCAATTGAGGTGATAAAGATTCCTGCTCCTCATCCACTTTCAACTTTGCTTGTGAAAGAGCTAAAAAAGGATTTACCATTGTTTTAATTAATTTATAATCTTTAAATTACAAGAAAGCTAATAAAGTTTCGTTAAAAAAAAACTATCAATTTTCATAGATCAGTGATTAATGCCAACATAGATACACGTGAAATACCTTCAATGAGCCCATTATGACAATCATCATCATCTATGTTCGAACTTTTGCTAGCGGTTTGTGAAACACGGGTTAATCCTTCCCACATATTAGACTGAAGTGCTTCGAGAATTCGCTCTATACCGATGCGTTCTATTCAACCAAATAAGAAATACGATATAAAGAAAAAGCTGATTAATAAAGTTTAATTAAGTTTAATCATAATAAATATAACCACCATCTATATTTTCTTTCTTTGTATCCATATCTACATATTCAAACCCATTCTCTAAACACCAATCTTCATACGAGTCATCATTAATGTTGTGAACATTTTTTCCAGTTCCAATAGCCAACGTTATGGCGGGATCATATTGTTGTATAAAAGGCAAGAAAACTTTTATATCGTCAAACGTTGTCGGCTTTTCAAATAAAAAATTAATTAAAAAAAATTTTTATAGCTTATAATATAATAATATTATTAAATATAAGTACCTCATCTTTCTTAAATATAAAAAGAATGGCATCTACAACTTTCCCAATGCCGTTTTCTTCATTTTCATAGCCTTGTATCACCTCTTTATTCACATGATCTTTATGTAGAGTTTCATCAATCCAAAAATCTACTTTTGCATTATAATATTTGGTATTAATGTTCAATGGTATTTTGATTCCTGAATGATTTTTGTCTTCTATGTTAAAACTATCAATTGATTGATTTGTAATTGATAATAATTCTGTATTATTACCGAAATAAAATAAATATTGAAACTCGAATATCAAATATAACGAAATAAACATTTGATTTTATAGTTACGTTTTATAATGGATAATTTCCCCACTCCACGACGTCCTAAAACGAGAATTTTATTTCTTACAAGCTTAGAAGTTGACATAGTTAAAAATTACAAAACTTTAATTGTGACCGATTTTAAGTTAATTTAACAAGCCACATTTCTATTAGCCACTACATCGTTGATTTTTGATCACCAAAAACGGGTGATATAGATTATCTTTTTTTTTTTAAAAAAAAAATTATTTGGCTTCTTTTATTTATGTAATAATAAATAATAATGTTGAGAAGGTCTTTAAATAATATATTTTATTTATCTCTACAAAATCATGGCATTACACGTTTTAATACTATTAAATTACAAATGAGAGGGTCTCCAGTACGTCTGTTTACTGGCAAGTTATAAAATTTTTTTTATTAACTGTAGAGTCTTGTAATTCCTTCGTATCATAACAACCATTCTTTTATGGTCTTTTTCATTCACGTGCCATAATTACAGCAACGAGCAAACTTAAAACTACTGAAATTGTATCTTCAAATGATATCGATACTTCAAATATAAATCTCTTGAGAAAAGATTCAAATAAAATTGAAGATACTAGAGCTGAAGATACTAGAGAAGAAAGGATATTTATTGGTAATTTTCGAGAAGAGATGGACAAATTTTCAGAAAGAAAACATTGGAGAGCAATTCTTAAATTATGCGAAGAAGTTAAACAGTCAGATCGTAAACCTGATATATCCATATATAATACAATACTTCGCGCTTATATACCTTTGGGTTCTATTAAACATTCTTTTAAGATATTAGAAGATATGAAATTGGCTAATGTCAATCCAAATTTAACTACTTATCATTATTTATTGAGGGTAAATTAATAAATGAATTACTTTACGAAAGAAGGTCCAATAATTTTATTTACTTCGTTTAAAAAGTATTAATTATTTCATTTTTTTTTTAAGACATGGTCACAAGCTCCTACTAGTGAACAAGATCCGTACTTAAGAGAACAAATTTTCGAAATGATTGTTAATGATGGTCTTCAACCTGATTTAAAAATTTATGAATGTTATATAGATTCATTATTAGCTGGGGAAGAATGTGAACGTGCATTTGAGATTTTTGATTCTTTGAAAAGCAAGAATATTTATCCTCAATTGGAACTTTATATTGCAATGATAAGGAAAGCAATTTCAATAAATGAACCAAGGATAGCATTAAATTATTTGAAAAGTCTTGAACAAAATCTATTTTATGCTCCAACTTCATTGTATAATGATGTCTTAAGAATATGTGCTTATGAATATTATGTGAGTAACACTCGTATACTCTCTGTTTTGTGTTTATAATTTTTTTAATTGATTCAATAAAATGTTTTAGGCTGATGGCATTCTGTATTGTTGGGATAAACTTAAACATCGTGGATTAAATCTTGACGAAGGAGTATGTATCGACATTTTATATTTCGCCGGAAGTCATGGAAAACCTGATTTAGTCGTACAAGTCATTGAATATTTAATGGATGTTCGAAGATTAAAACTCGAAAAATTTCATTTTAGTCCACTTACACGGGCTTACGTTAACGCTGGTGATATTAAAAATGCCATGGAATCGTTAAATATAATGCGGCAAGCAGGATTTCAAGTTGGCTTTTTTGATACGTCAAGTACCGGATTATATTCATTAATCCGAAAAGATAAAAGAACTATTGATAATGCATATTATTGTTTGGAAGAGTTACATAAAGAAGGGAAGATAGTTGATGTATCAGCTCTTAATGTTGTTATTGCAGCCTGTTCAAATATTGGTTACAAGAGAAATGTTGATATGATTCGTGCATTGGAAACTTATAAAGCGGCCGAGAAATTGGGTGTTCAACCCAATGTAGAAACATTTAGTTCCATTTTACTAGTATGTCTTTCTGCAAAACGGAAAGATTTGGCTGATCAATTGTGGAAAGAAATGCTTGAATTAAAGATTGTTCCATCATCCTTGGCATATAATCGTATGATTGCAATCATTTGTACTCAAGATGATTACGAAGAAGCATTTGCTTATCTTGAAGAAATGAAAGCACAAAATTTATTGCCACCACGAAGTGTTTATGAGAGGATCATAAATAAATGTGTGCGTCATGGCGACTCAAGAGCAATATTAGCTTTGGAAGAAGCGGAAAATTTTGAATATAAATTTCCTCGATCATTTTATCAAGATTTGGAAGATCAAGGTTTTGATCTGGGATTGGCTAAAGAAATTATTAAAAATCAAAAAAAGAACTTTAATCAACAAAAAATAAGTAGTAATGTAAACAATTCAGATGTTATGAATGAGTTTGTGGACATAATCAAAAGCCAATGAAAGTGAACAAAAATAAATTAGAATATCAAATCAAAAGACTTCAAATTGAAAAAAAGAAATAATTATTTACTATTTAAAGAATTTATTCATATTTGATAAAGTTTGAAATGAATACATTCAAAAATTGATTGTAAAAGAGAAATAATTTATTCTACGCGATTATTACTTGATATGTAACTTAAACGCAAGAATAAATTTTATTTACATTTAACTAACGACAAATCTATAATCTTGAAAATAAAATGAAAAAAAAAAATCTAAGCATACAATATTTGCTGTACAAACTAGGATGCCCATATTCTAATCTACCCGTAAGTTCGTGAAAATTATTATTTAGCCGAGACCTCCCCAAACACCACGAATTCTTCGCGCCAGTTGAATGTCTTTTTGCATTATTGTAACTCTTTTTGCATGAATTGCGCATAAGTTGCTAAAGAATTGTTTCAGGTTTGAATGTTAGATTCATATATATAGTCTTAATATGTAATTTTCTTTAAAAAAGCATTCAATAATAAGCAAAATATATAATACGTACGCGTCCTCGAATAAATGAACCAGATAAGCTTCAGTAGCTAAAAGATATTTTATTTTGTTTAGTTATTTACCACATTAATTAATTAAAATTGTACAAAACAAATCATTTACCTTCTTGAAGTGCTAAAATGGCAACTGACTGCCATCGGTATCCTACGTTTGAATGAGGTCCTAGGACCTCGATGGCTATCTCTCGAACCTAAATAAAAAAGCGTCAATGATAATAAACAGTTATAATCATGATAAAAATGATTTATTATACGTACAACCCGTGAAAAAGGCAACTTCCTAATTAAAAGATTAGTAGTCTTTTGAAATTGTCTAATTTCACGTAAAGCAACAGTACCAGGCCTATATCTTCTCGGTTTTTGTGGTCTGATTGGATCTCCAGCTAAGTAAATATAAAAAGAAAAAAAAAATCATCCGACAAACTTGACGGTATTATAAAAGCGCCCGCGTTTTATAGTGAACTTACGTCTAGATTTCCCCGTAGGCGTGGTTTTACTGCCTGAAGCCGCGGGTCTGGGCAACTTTTTTACTGTTGCCAATCGACGTTTGGCTACCCTAGTTCCAGGAGAGGTTGTAGAGGTGGTTCGTGGTTGTCTGGCCATAGTGTTCTTTTTTCCCTCACTTTGCAATTTACACACACAAAAGTAATTTGTTAATAGTAACGATTTGTTAAAACAACTTCTACGTCAGATTATTTCAACTTCTCTTGGTTCTGTTAAAGAGAAAATTAAACGCGTATTTTGACTACAATCACCTATGACATCACATTTTATTCCTTGACCATTATGTCATGTGATTTACCATTCCTGTTGGGGAGGCCATTTGCATTTTAAAACTTCACTCTCACATGATAAATAATGCAAATAATGTGACTTGATCATGCGTGTCATTTAATTAATAGCTTTTAAGATCAATATTGTAAAAATACTAAAAAATACTTTATTGAGGATAATATTTAGTAAAAAGCTATATCTCTTGATTTACAGTATCGTTTCATCAATAAAGAAAGAATAAAGGAAGAAAAAATATTCCTTAATAATTAATTATGCTCTCTTAATTCAATTTGTAAAATTTTATACATCAGTAACAGTAAGCCCTAAAAAAATTTGTTCGATCAAATTAAAATTTTTTTTTTGAAAAAAAAAGAAAAAAAAATGTTCAAAAATATCAATAAAAAATTATTAACCTGGAGGAAGAGATTTTTGAAGTTTCTCCGCCTTTTCTGCATCTTCGATAACAAAAGTATAAAGATACTTAGAGCATCTAAGCTTAAATTTTACTTTTGATGGACCATTCTTCTTCTTCTTCTTTTTAATACGAACAGCTATCAAAAATTATTTTATTAATTATGAAATCAAACTTTTAAAGAAGACGTTAAAACTTTAGAATATTTACATTTTGCATCCTTTCTGCGGGCGATTTCGAGAAAATATTTAATATCATCAATCTGTTTCGGCTATAAATTATAAATTAACGAAAGTTATTTTAAAAAAGCATTAGATTACTAACTTCTAAATGTTTAAATAGATCTCGGAAGACTAAAAAATTTTTTTTTTAATTCAAAAAATCTCTATATCATCAAATAAGGAATCATTATTTTACTATAACAACATCCCATCCACTTTTATTAAAACTTTGTAAATTAAATTATTTTAAATTAATGGATTGCTTACCATCGTGAAAAACTTTCTACGACCAAGCCGAATAAACAAAATGAAAGAATTGTTTGAAAAACGAAAAATTTTATTTATATGATCTATCACACGAAAGTCACGTGGATGATCTGCTTTTTTTTAGGAATGAAAAAAAAATTTTTAGTTATGCTCCTTATAAGGATCGAACTTATGACCTTCGCGTGAAAACCCACTGGGTTCTATTAGCACGACGCTCTAACCAACTGAGCTAAAGGAGCTTGATTCTTGCTTGATGGTTATAAAATAATTATATAAATATTAAATTGGATTTAAATAGTAATATTTATTCGATTGTGTACAGAAATAGAGTCGATTTTAAAATAACAAAATTTCTTTCTTTAATTGTTAACTATATATTTATTTAATTAAAAATGCGGTATAATATTGCGTTAGTATTAATTTTTTTTTCATTTTCATTTTATTTTTGAAATATTAAATTTTTGAACTCCTTTTTTTATATAAAATTTAATTTAGGATGGTATCGGATTTCTTTTATCCGAACATGGGGGGAGTAGAGAGTCATTTATATCAATTATCACAAAGATTAATTCAACGCGGGCACAAAGTATAAATGAATTATTAAGTATTTCTTTTTTTTTAAGAAAAAAAAAACAAATAAATTTTTATATAATTTCCTATTTTATTTAGATAATAATAATAACTCATTCATATGGGAATCGTACTGGAATTCGATATCTCACCAATGGTTTAAAAGTATATTATGTGCCTCATATGGTTATATATTCAGAAGCAACATTACCAACAATTTATGGATTTTTTCCAATATTTCGAAATATTGTGAAGCGGGAGAAAATTGATATTGTACATGGACATCAAGCATTTTCCTCATTATGCCATGAAGCAATATTACATTCTCGCACAATGGGAATGAAAGCATGTTTTACTGATCATAGTCTATTTGGATTTGCTGATGCCAGTAGTATATTAACGAATAAATTACTGAAATTTACTCTAAGTGACATTGATCACGTTATCTGTGTTAGTCATACAAGGCAAGTTTAATAATTAATTTAAAAAAATGCCTACTTTTATTTATTTATATTTTTATTAGTAAAGAGAATACAGTGCTTAGAGCAGCATTGAATCCTCAAATGGTATCAGTTATTCCTAATGCTGTTGTTGCTTCACAATTTAAACCAGATCCGGGTGCACAAGATCCTAATTTTAGTAAGTATTTTAATACTTATATTAAGGGTTTTGCACATTATTTATCGATATTTTATTTGTGATCAGTTACAATAGTAGTTGCAAGTAGATTGGTATATAGAAAGGGCATGGACTTATTGGTAGCTGCTATCCCGAGAATATGTCAGATGCATTCCAAAGTCAAATTCATTATTGGTAAGAAATTTACTAGCGATATTTCAGATTTATTATCATATATTTACTGAAGCTACATATTTTTTTTTTAATTTGGTAAGGTGGGGATGGGCCAAAAAGAATAGATTTAGAGCAAATGAGAGAAAAATATTTACTTCATGATCGTGTTGAATTAGTTGGTACATTAATGCAACACGAAGTAAGAAACGTACGTGTCAGCTTCAAAAAAATTTTATTAGCATTTTTTTTCCTGAAGTCTACATTAAAATTTATTTAGCTTTTAACAAAAGGACATATATTTCTAAACACAAGTTTAACAGAAGCATTTTGTATTGGAATTGTTGAAGCAGCTTGTTGTGGATTGCTTGTAGTAAGCACAAAAGTTGGAGGAGTACCAGAAGTTCTTCCAAAACATATGATAATTTTTGCTAAACCTGAAGAAGATGATTTAGTAAATGCGGTAGGAAGAGCTATTGAAATGATTAGACTTAAAGAAGTTATACCAATTAAATTTCATGATGAGATTAAAGAAATGTATAGTTGGGTTAATGTTGCTGAAAGAACTGAAAAGGTAAGTAAAATTTTATAATCTTTTTATTAACATAGACTTAAAACTTAATATATTATAATTTAGGTTTATGACGCAATTTGGAAAATGAGGATTCCCCCTTTAATGGAGAGACTCAGAAGATATTATGGATGTGGATTGTGGGCGGGTAAAATATTTTGTATATTAATAGCGATAGATTATCTTATATGGAGATTTTTAGAATGGTTATTTCCTGAGGAAGATATAGAAATTGCTCCTGCATTTCCTTATCAAAAATATAATAAAGTAAGTAAATGTAAATCAATTATTAATAGGATTAATTCTTAATTTATTAATTTCTATATATTATGTCTAATATTAGATGTGTCAAATGGCAGATAAAGATGATGATGATTAATAATTATTTTTATAATTAAAAAATAAAAATCAAAATCCTTTAATCTTTCCTGTAACTTTACCAAAGGTCCACTTTTCATTTATTTTTATAAAAATTGAGTTATAATAGCTCAACATATATATAAGCTTTATATTTAATCATAATGTAAAAGGAGTTTCATATTAGTCAAAATTTGTTTTAAAGCATTTGTGTTTTGAGAAAATTAAAGATGTACTGTACTGTAAAATCTAGATTTAGACGTGCTTGCACTTGTTTTATGTCTTCATTAAAACAAGTTAATAAAAGGCCATTGATAAAAGCCTTTATAATGAAAACAAAGAAATTAATTAAAGGTTTGAAATTTGATGAAAAATTGAGGTATAAAAAAATTAGCAATACAGTTTAAGCAATAAATTAATTGATTAAAGATAATTTTATTAAAATAGATATTTATTTGTTAAAATTGAAACTTTCCTTCATTTTATTTATTTTTCTATTTCTAATCCTTTCTGTTAATACTTGAAATTAATGTTAACTAACTTTTTCCATTCCGGCTGAAATTTCAATCATGTGATTCTATTCTTCTTATGGATCTTTACACCTTGTATCGTCCAATGACGAAGTTGAAAGCTCCCAAAGCTTTTTTCGCTTAATCTCATTACTAACCTTTATCTCATTCTCCTCATCCAAAAATTATCCGTCTCTCTTTCTTCTAACGATTTGACATTGGCGTCATCACAATGCTCTAGTGCTCTATAACGGAGCAAGGTATATATGATCCTTCGGATACAGTAAATCACATTGCAATTACATAACAGATGATTCATATTTGATTATGACTTGTGGTGTCCTGCCTTAAAGCCAGAAAATTTAATTAAATAATGACCAAAATTTATCATAAGCAGGAAACAAGAGCATCTATAATAATACGTTGAAAAAAAATAATATTGATAATAAATAAAAGATACCAAAATCGAAAAAACTTCTGCTTAATAGTTCTTCAGTTAAAACTGCAAATTTAAAAAATTCAACTTCTACAGCCGAAAACACTTGTAGCTCAATCAACGATGCTTTTTTGTGTAATCTAAAGAAAAAAAATCTACCACTCTGTCACGCCAGATAATTCCCGAATGGTCATAACAAAAATTCCATAGGAACCCATTTAAATACACGACCGTAACAATCCGATATGATCGAAATCATATCTTTTAATGTACTTAAATCAACAAGAAGATTTTCTGGAGGAATTCCGCTCTTGATTTCTATGCTGACGGAGAATCGGAAGATGCATCATTGAGGCGATCAGATTCAATCTTTTCAACTAATATTAGCGGATTTTTCGGAATTTTGACATTTCCATGCAATTCGCCATCACGTCATATGTGATGACCGTATAATCCTCTAGTCTTATCGTACGTATACAGTTTCTTGGACTATCATGACCGGGATATGACGCATAAATAAATGCAAATCAAAGTCTTAGAAAAAATAATGTGCAAGTCTTAGCCAGAGGCGTTTCGCAAGGATTTTTCCGGGCATTTCAGGCCGATCTATTTCTGACTTTTAGATTTGAGCTCATCACGCCTAGCATTCTGCAACAACCTTTGATTCTACTCCTGAGTTTGGCATTCTCAGCTTCGTGCTTGGTTCTCTCCTCTGTAACCTGCCTTAAGAGCTTGGCTTTCTCAGCCTCAAGCTCATTGAAGCATTGTTTAAATAATTCAAAGTTATATGACATATTTGATAATTTTATACAAGTGAAAAGTTAGTTTGAATCAATCAAGTAACAATTAGCAAAAGAAAAATTTTTTATTAAATACAAAGTTTTGGGGTTTGCTTAGCAACAGATATTTTATTAATTCTTATTATTATATTATGATCTATCATAAAATACTTTTGTTAGGTACGAAGCTATCCCTTAAACTGTAAGGGCTAATATTAATTTTAAAAATTTTGAATTTTCAAAATATCTTAAGATCTATTGATCATAGAAAGATGAAATTAGGTTTGTTAGATTCCTCTTATTGAGGTGCATTTAATGGTAATAAAATCATAACTCTAAAAATTAATAGATAGAAAGTTATATTAATTTATAAATTTTTAGATTTTATATGATATCCCGTTACATAATATTTGTACATGTAGAACAACAATTTTTATTCTCATTAAGACGCATCAAATGATGGTAATTTTATATTTCTAGGGTTAATAGATAATAAGATATTTCAATTTAAAAGATTTAGCTACTATTTGTTATAATTTGCTGATCATTTACTTTTAAAAAATCATTAATCGAATTGAACTTTTTTTTCGATTTTTACGACTTAGAAAATACTATAGAATTTATTACAAAAATATTGGTTTATATAATAAAATATTTTAAGACATTTAAAAGTATCTTTAATTAAAAAACAAAATTGCAGGCAAATTTGCCTGCAAAACATTTAAGGGATTGTTTAAGAATCAATTCTTTTGCGACATTAAGACCTCTTGTTGGATGTAATAAAGATCAATAGTAAAATTAGCACCAGGATTAATTCCAACTGGCGCAGTAGGAATGTATTCAGGAGGTGGGATTGTTAGCGGATTAAAGAAATCTTGTTAACTGGAATGTTTACTACAAAAGCGGACTGATACATCCAGTGGTGGGAATAGGTCTGGTTCAGTGAATACAGGCCCCTCTTGGAATTGATCCAAAATCCTACTGGAAATACATTTTAAGAAATGGTGAGAATTAGGGTTAACACTAATTACAGATAACAAATAAGCTTACTTCTCTATATCCTGCTCCTTGCGTCCAGAGTCTTGCTGTCATCGCTCTACATTTTTGACCTTGGGCATCTTTTGCACTATTTAGTTTATGCGGACGTAAACCACCTGCAACCACAATTGACATTTGGCTGTCCAGTCGTGGACTGATTGATGATTTCCTAACTTGACTATTATTCTTGCATGCGAATTACTCTAGAAATAACTTTACTAAAAATGACCAATTTTTTGAAATATTTTTATAGACCTAGATACAATGGCTTTCAAAACAATTGTGCAATTATTTTGTAAAATTTTTAAAATATATCAAGATATATTTAAGGTATTTTTGAGATTAAAATATTAAAATAATATCAAAGTTAATTATATTATAATATTAAAATAATAACAAAAACATTAAAAAATTATTGTGATATTATTTTTAGTTATTTTTATAGACCTAGATATAATACAATTACAAAATAATAGCAAAAATATAATAAAAACATTTTGATGTATTAAATGTATTTTTGTAGTATTTTAAAATTATTACAAAATCATTTCAAAAAATTGGCCATTTTTAGTAAAGAATGACATTAAGGAAATCACATTCTAAAATAAATATGCTAATGCATTAAAGTCAATATACATACATTAGCATCGCTCAAAGGAGGGTTTGAATAGGGAACAGTAGATTTTGGGACGTAAGGTTCATTTGGAACTATTGCAAAGTCAGGGGCCATTTTCCTCCTTCTTCTTAGTATGCCTTTTATTTTCAATATATATTTTTTTACTGTTACATGGACGCGTATATGATTTATAATTTTAATATTACGCGGACACGTATTCGTTTTATCAAAAACACGTTATACGATCATGTCTAAAAATAATTCCTGTATTACGTATACAATTAACTTATTCTTTGTATTAAAAATAGTAAATTTTTTTTACACAAACATGTTTATAACTTTGTTTACATATTTTATTAAATTTTTTTAATGTGAAAAATGTAAATATATATTATATTATATATATACACTACTTGGACAAAAGTAACGGGAATTCATATTTATTAATTACTTGAAAATGTACATAATAATAATACCTGAAATTTTTATATGTGATGACGTAGACAATGCAGAATATATATTCAAAATTTCATTATTCTAGCATTCATACAACTACATTAATTAAAGAAAACTCAGAAAGAAATTTTAATAATTATCTATATATTATATAATAAAAATAAACAAATAGTCTGATACTGTCAGTTTATTTGGAATTATACATAATAATGATACCAGAAATTTTAATATGTGGCAGTACAGGTTCTTAATTAATATATATACATCAAATTACTTTTTTCTAGTTTTTGTTTTTATATGGATTGTATAAAAAATTGAAAGAAAATTAAATTTTAAAAACAATAATACTGTTGCTAATTACTAAATTTCTTTTTTTAATTAACATAGTTGTATGAAGGCTAAAACTATGAAATTTTGAATATATATTCTTTATTATCTATGTTATTACATATTAAAATTTCAAGTATTATTAATATGTATGTTTTTGAGTAATTAATAAAATATGATGAATTCCCGCTACTTTTGTCCAAGTAGTGTATATTAAAAAAATCTATCCTGCTACGCAAATATATATCTGACTATTAATAATTTAATACTCTGCTACGCATAATTATATCTGACTATTTAAAAATTATGTTATCAAATAAGCAATAATAAATCTCACATAGGAAAAATTTTTATATGTTGGTTAAGCAAACTCAAAACCTACCTTTATATATATTGTTCGGGGTCCTATCGAAACATTGGTTTGTTAAATTGATTAAATAAAACGTTAATTCAAAAATCTTTGGCGTCTGTGCCAAATCAAGTGCCAAAATTTTATACTGTATCATGCCGATGGTGTGATGGTATAATAATAATATTTTATTAAAGTTCTAAAAAAAACTGTAATTATCTGTTTATTATTTTCTTACATGAGTAACAAAATGATGCAATTTCAAGAAAATGTTATTCTTTCAAATCTATTAGAAACAAAATTTGATAGTTCAAAATCTTTATTATTACATTTTTTATCAAGATATAATTGAATACATTATCTATTATATCATTTGATTCTATTTGTCATATTTTACAAGATTTTACTGAAGATTATGATTTATTAATTACAAAGTTAAACCAGTAAATATACAAAGAAAATTTTTAATTTTTTTTTTTTTTAAATTGATTGCTATTATTTTTCAATTTTTAGATTGAATCTTCAACCTAATGATTCTAATTGAGAAATGAAACTGGCATGTAAATATGTTGAAAATTATGTTAACAGATGGTCGTTCTCCACAAAGTAGAAAAATCATCCAATAGATATACATATATATATTATGATTTCTATTTATATTTTTTCAACAACTAATTAAAAATGTATATTAAAACAAGAATCTCAATCAATATAATTTTATAATCCATCATGGAAATTACATATAATATGTTTAGCTGATATAGTAATAAAAAGTGAACATTCTCAAACAACATCACAAATTCTTGAAGAATATAAAAAACTATTAAATTGTCAAATTCCTTTAAGTATAACAAAAAATTATCAAAAAGGTGTTTATACACTTGAAAAAGTGATGTATTTTGTTATTTACTTTATCCTTATTTTAAGGACTCAATTTTAAGCATGATGGATATAATTTTTGAAAAATATTGTATCCTTTTTTTAAAAAATATTTAAAATAGATTAATAATGAAAAAAATTTTTTTTTTTTCTTTTCTCCTTAACGAATTATTTTCTTTTTAAACAGTTTTACTATATAAAGGATTACTTTTATGTGAGCAATTACGTTTTCTGATTAAAGTATATCCCATTCTTCCTGATGTTGCATATAGTAAACATTATTAATTTAATTTTTTTTTTTTTATAATAATTTCTTTGATATTTTATTGATCCTTCTAAAGTACATGATGTTGTAAGAACTTTGTCCATTGTAGTATTTAAGCCAAGGGAAAAATTACTTGGAGAACCTTCTATTTTTTGATTATGAATGTTCGTAGATGAAGAATATAATAACTATTGACCAGGTAGGTAAACAAGGGACTTTTTTCTTTTCTTGAAATTATCTTTTTCTGACACTCTCTAAGACGTTTGAGTTGGAATGATTTAGGATAAACAAGTACGAAATAATTCTGAATATGTCTCAGAAAAAAAAATCATATCGCTATTGTTTGGATGAAAGGAGATACAATTGAATCACCTCCAAGTATAGATAATCAAGAAGATCCAAAGGAGCATGATTTATGTAAGTTTTTATATGAGAACGTTCTGTACGGTGTAAATGGTCAAATATCAAGCATGAAAAAAATGATAAAATTTAATCACCAAATGTAATTGCCAAATATTAAGAACGAACAAATTAATTATGAATTGGCGTAGATGGATAAATAATTAGCCGAAAAGGATAAACATTTAAGAAGAGCAATGATTTACATGATGTAATATTTATCGGATGATTAACAAAGAACCAATAGAATAATTAGAATCGATCAGTTGCGGCTTAGCAATCTTTAACAATAAGAACAATTAGAAAGAATAATTATAAGCCACAAAAGGTAGATCATATAAAATGGAGGGATAGCGGATTAAAGGAATACGCATAACGAAAATACATACATTCATTCTCATGTTTTATTATTTCTTGCAGACATTTGTCTTTCTTTCTTGAAAAATCTTTATTTAATATTTCTTTTATTTCAAAGATTTTTAATTCTTTCGAAAAGTATATTGTTTTACAAATAAGTTTTTGTTCACAAAATTTACAATATATCTTAAATTTTACTTCCATAAATAATAATATAAAAAGATAGTATAAAGATGGAACATAAAAGATAACATATTAGAAAGAACATATATAAAAAGATAGCATATTAAAAGATAGCGTATTTAAAATATAGATAGCATATTAGAAAGATAGTTCAAAGATAATATGTAAAAAAAACATAAAAGATAGTATATAGC